TTTCTTTTCTTTTCTTTTCTTTTCTTTTCTTTTCTTTTCTTTTCTTTTCTTTTCTTTTCTTCTCTCTCCCTCCCTCCCTCCCTCCCTCCCTCTCTCTCTTTCTTTTTAAAGCATCCCTTCAAAACTGCCATATGTATTTCCAGGGTTAAAACTCCACTGTTAAAAAGCTGTGCTTCTTAGCAGTTGGTCTCTACTAGGCTTCCCCTTTGCTGCTTAGAACAAAATCTGTGTGTGTGTGTGTGTGTGTGTGTGTGTGTGTGTGTGTGTGTGTGTGTGTGTACAGAGTTTGGCATTTGGGATTGTGCCTAGGATTTGATTTATAAATGTGGATGCAAGTAAATCTGGCAACAGGTAAAGACTGACAGCCTCCTCTCCCCCCCAATCAGAACTAAGTCCTTACCCTGCTTCTTGTCGTCACCGGGTCATTTAGCAATGAAATATACAATGACCTGCTTTTATTGCCTCTGCCCTGTAGCTAGCCTGAGGCCACACACGAAATTACTCCCAGGTAATTCTTTGCCATTCCTCACCTGGTGGAGGCGGGCTTCTTCTGCCTCGTAGGTATAGTGATCCAACACGATGCGATAATAGCCAGTCTGAACTTGATTGCACTGCCGGCCCACCATATGGCTACGGCAGCGACACTGTCCTGTTTCTCTGGCACATCTGTAAAAAGAAAAGGAACCAGGTTCAAAATAAGCAAAGTGTTCTCCCAGGTTTGGGGTCCTTGGTGCTCTCTGAACTTAGTTGTTTCCTTGGGACGTTTCTTTTCCCAACTAGGTAACATTAGTATTAATATTGACCTTGTTGTTAAACTCTGCTTAGGAATTCATGTGGCAGCACTACCGCATGGCACACTCAAACCTAACCAACATCTACATGCCATTCAAAAGAGACAATCAAAAACAATACCGCAATTAAGAAACAACTTGGACAAATAAGCTAACAGTAAACAACTTGCCTAATCAAGGAACCGCCAAGAACACTCGCACCAATGCTGAAAGGACATTGTATACAAAAATAAGAGCAAACCCCACTCCCTTCCAGCACTGATGATATTACCAAGTTTGGTAATGAAATGTCTGCAAGGAAAATCACCAAGTGTAGGAAGTTAAAACCCACCCCTCTCCTACAAAAATGAAATATCCTGGGAAATATTAAAAAGACAGAATATCATATTTCCCTGGGTGTGAAAAGAGAGAAACATGTTTTTAAAGACAAAGTAGCTCCCTGCAGCTTCCCGCCCCCTCCCCCTTTGTCAATGAGCCATTAAAGCCTGAGCTAGTCTACTCTACATAACAAAGGTAGGATTAGCCTTCTGCAGAACCTCACCACAAGGCACCTGGGAAAATTACATCAGCCAGCACAGCAACCAAACTTGGACAGAGTTGCCCCTGCATGGCCCCATGGGAGTCTGACAACTAATCNCCAAGCCACGCCCACCAAGCCATGACACCCATCAGGCCACGCCCACAGAACCGGGAGTACAAAAATTTGAATCCCACCACTGACGTATTTCAATGGAGAAGCAGCAGCCGAGTGACAAGTGGAAAGTCAAAGGGGTCTTACCTGAGGTTCATAGCGCAGCAGGATATCATACTCCATAGAAAATGGCACATTGTTGATATGGAATTCTACCACACTGCCTTCCAGCACCCGAGCTAAGCCCAGCCCGGTCCACGTGACTGGACGGCCAGGTAGGGATACTCTCTGTATAACTTCAGCTCCCTGCCAAGAGAAAGAATGGTAAGCAGTTAACGTTTCCTCAGAAGGACATCTCTACAGGCAGTCCTCGACTTGCAACAGTTCATTTAGTGACAGTTACAATGGCATTGAAAAAAAGTGACGTCTGACCAATTTTTTACAACTCAAAACCACTGAAGCATGTTCAAGGTCACGTGATGAACGTTCAGATGATTGGCAACCGGCTCATATTTACGACGGTTGCAGATGTGATCACCTTTTGCAACCTTCTGATAAGCAAAGTCAATGGGGAAGCCAGACTCGGTTAACAACCGTTTTCCTAACTTGGCAACTGAAGTGATTCACTTAACAACCGAGGCAAAAAAAGTCTTAAATTGGGGCAAAATTAACTTAATAGTCCTGCTTAGCAACAGAACTTTCGAGCTCAATTGTGGTCATGAGCCGAGGATTACCTGTAACGTTACCAAACTTATCAATTCATAATTATTTAACGGAATCAGAAAACTTCCACTTTACCTATATCTGCATATAAAACATAATTTTCCACTCCTGAAATTGTTCCCAAAGAAGCTCATAATAAAATATGATCAGAAAAAAAAATTAAAAAGCAATAAGTACAATTAGAATTAGCTGCAACACAGCAGATACTACATCTGTACAATGCAGAACATAATGCATTTCAATGCTTGTGGATGCAAAATAGCAATAAGGAAATAGTCTCCCCAGAGATTCTTGCAAAGGTTATATGGCTCTTGCAGCTTTGGTTAGCACAATCGCAAGGAAAAGACACGACTGCTTTAAGATGCTGCAAAAAAAAATCAGGGGTGAAATTCAGCAGGTTCTGACAGGTTCTGGAGAACCGGTAGCGGAAATTTTGAGTAGTTCAGAGAAGCAGCAAATACCATCTCTGGCTGGCCCAAGTGTGGGGTGGGAATGGAGATTTTCTAATACCCTTCCCCAGGAGTGGGGAGGGAATGGGGATTTTGCAGTATCTTTCCTCTGCCACGCCCACGAAGCCACATCCATAGAACTGGTAGTAAAAAAAATTGAATTTCACACCACTGTGTTGGTGTGCCCAAACATTCCAAAGCCCCTTTTGGAGAATGATTCTAAAGCCTTCTCCCTAATATTTGCTTTCTTTTCTTTTCTTTTCTTTTCTTTTCTTTTCTTTTCTTTTCTTTTCTTTTCTTTTCTTT